GAGAGACAGAGTCCTGCCCCAAGCCCCAGGTGAGGCCAGGAGGTGCCTTGGAGAATTCAGCCTGAGCAGATTGGGCCTGCTGGCCTCCACGGGGAGGAATGAGGCCCAGGCCCGTCCGAGAGTCTCTTGAAAGGTTTAAGCGTGCAGGCCTCCCTGATTGGTGAAGTAGGGTCTGAGGGAGAATCCTGGGATTCACAGAGCAGGGAGTTTTAGTCTCCTGCAGACAGCACCCAAGTGCAGGTGCCCAGTGTCACATGCACCCTTTTTGTATTATGGTTAAACATTTCTCAGAGCCGAGTTTTTACATCTCTACGTTGAAAACCTAAAAGCCTCCTTACGTTGCAGAGTCACCTAGTCCCATAAAGAGTGGGCTTTGCCCGTTGGTGTTGCATGGAAGGTGAGAATAGCGCACTTAACCTGGGCTTGCCTGGTCTGGTTTCCTCTGCTCCCCTTTGATGCGTTGGTGGTGGTGCACTGCTGTGTAGTACAGTTGGAACACATCAGTGTGTTGCCTTGCTGCTCCCCAGCTGGAGAGAGCTGCTGAGGCCGGGCAGGGCTGGGCCGTCCTGTTCCCAGGTGGGGGGCAGCCAACAGTCTCGTGGGGGAGAGGCAAGCGTTGCTGCCTTCACGGTCTGCTCACAGACATGCCTCTGACTCGAATGTGCCTGGTGGGTGAACAGCTTTGCCATTTCTGTAGACTTCCACGAAGGCACCAGCAAAAGGCCCACACAGAAGAGATTTCCGTAACCCGTCCTGTGCCCTCGTCCTCCATCTCATGTGACCCATCAGTCACCCTGTGTGCCAGGTCCAAATTGAGAGTAATGATAAGAGTGGCTCCTCTTAAACGGGGGCAGTGCAGATGTGGGGTGTTCTGTCGTGCTGGGGCAGTGAGGGAGCCCCAGTGACTATGAGTCGTGTGCATTTCCAGCATTGCAGGGAGCAGGACACTCTGGGGCCCTGCACATAGCCCTGGGCCTGTGGCCAGAGGCTGAGCCCCTCTCTTCCTCTTAGCTTTTGAAAAGGCTTGCCTGTGTCAGGTGGGTCTCACTTGGCCGTTTCTTTCAGGAATTTCTGTTCAAGCTTACTCCCCTTCATCAGCTATTTTATCCTTCTCAGAATGCCCTGCGTCCGTGTGTGCAGGAGCTGCTTCCTAGCTTTCCTGACTGCATACACGGATGCAGGAAAGACACCTTTCCTGGGCATCTAGTTACAGGGAAACAAGCAGAGCTGAGACTCAGCTTTAATAAGAGCACTTGGCTGGGCCGCTGGGGGAGAATCTTCTGTTGCATTCTTCCCTCTGGATAGCGCCACTACCTCCTGGGCTTCACCGACAAGCTCCATCTTAACCTCCAAAACCACAGAATTAGGGGTTCATAGCTGGCGCTCGCAGCTGACAGCTGAAACGTCTGCCCTGCCTGAGCTGATGCCAGCTGAGCCCTTCTCGTGGGTCACCTTTTTCCTCACTGAGTCCCTTTTTTCCTTGCCTTTAATTTTTAAAGGCCCATGCATATTCTTTTCTTACCTGTACTTATATCAACTGAAGTTTTATCCATCCCATCCTCAGAGCCATCACCTGGCATGCCAGGTGCCTTACGTTCTAAGATGAGACATGGGTGACAGTCTATATACATAGACATACATACATGAGAATATAATTGTTGATTTATCCAAGGTGAGAAAGTTAGTGCTCTGTTGTTTAATAGATCCAAAGAGCCATGTGTCAGTTACTAAGAGTGGGCAAGAGTAAATGTAAGTGCTGAGACCATACCCTGCGTGGCCTCTTGGTTCAGAGGGGAGGATGCCACCAGGAGGCTGTGGTCATTGTCAGCTCAGACAGCCCACTGCATCTTGCTTTTCCCTGGGGACACAGAGGAAGCCAGGTGTCAAAGGGTGGGTTTCTCTCCTTCTCCTGTGGCCAGGGCAGTGAGCAGTCCTCGTGTGGAGCACTGAGCCTCTCCACCCAGTGAGTGGCAGCATGGTGTGGCTGCCATTTGGAATCTTAACTTGTTGGAGGCCTGTTAAAAATTTGCTTTGAGGAGGACAGCTCATGACATGCCACAGCTGGGGAAACGTGGCCGACTCCAGCCCTCTTGGGACATGCTGTGGTATTTGTGGCCCATGCCCAGAGGAATTGTAGGGACAGGCCCATGGCTCAGACACCCAGGGTGCCTGCACAGGGGCTATGGGTGATTCTGTGCTTTCTTCAAACTAACATTTATTTTCTGAAAAAACCTGCTGTAGGCTCCCCACCTGGAGGAGACCACTGTGAACATTTTGGTCTCCTATGTCCTGCCCCCCCCCACCCCCAATTTGTTTGCTTTTTTAACTAAACTGGGAACATACAACATAAACTGTTTTGCATCTAGCTTTTTTCACTTGATTTTTTTTTTTAAGCATTTTCCCATGTCTTGAGTAATTTGAAAAACATGTTTTTAACGGTTGTGGAGTTGAATGGTTGTAAATTTTTTCATAAATTATCTGACCATTTCCCTATTGTAAACATTTACGTGGTTTCTGGCTTTTCATTATTTAAATGATGCTGTGATGAATATCCTTATAAATCTTTGGTTTTTGACTCTTTTTTTCCCCCCTTAGATGCCTAGAAGTGGTATTTTTGGTCAAAGAGTTTGTTCATTTTAAAGATACTACTCTCCTCTCTCTTGACCTCTTGACCTGATGCTTAGATGCTCAGAGTTCCATTAACAGAACTTCCTTAGCTGTGTCCTACAGATCCTGAACAAATCAGTTTCTGATAAGCTGTTTGTTCCAAAGAATGTTTGAATAAGACCACTCTTTTTTAAATGCTGAAATGATGTCATTACTGCAATCCATTCGTGACAGGTTTTTCCAAGAGCCAGTTTCCTTATTTACGTTGCAGGAATCTGGCTGTGCCTGCATGTTAGTTCTCCTCATCCCTGCTGCTATGGCTTTCAAGTGCTTGGTGATATTTTCAGAATCTTGTACTTTGTGTCCACAATGGTACTGAATTTGCATCTGCACAGTCAGCAGAGATAAAGTGTTGAACTGACCTTGCCACATGCTTAATGGGTGATTTGCGATTAAGTTTATAGACTCAGAAAGTACATTGGGCCATTTGGAATCAGTAGCAGAGCAAAAGCTCTACTTGGAAAAGAAACTGTGTAGATCATTAGATTTTACAGAAGCGTATTTGTTGTCCTCCCCCATTCCCCACCTCGGTAAGAAGGTTTAGTGGTTCAGAAGAGCACGGTGGCCAGGCCTTTTCATGGTAGAATGTTGTCGTCCTGGCTGGTATGGATTTAAGACCTTCTCTCCACTCCCTGCCCACAGTGTTGTAGGTTGCCTAGTTGTCTTCAAGTCCAGACCACCCAAATTTGGTTGCATTCTTAATGTCTCCACTTTTGTTGGGGTCCATTGATTGTGAAGGGGAAACGCATGAGACATATTTCTAGGCACCATGCTCAGTGCTACTCAACTCCACCAGAGATTATGGCTGAATTGTGCAGTATTAGGTCGCCTTCCCTCTGATGCCCCGAGGCCCCTCCCCTGGCTGGCCACAGACCCAGATTGCTCACTGCTGAGATTTTCAGCGGTTATAGCTGCAGTGAGAATATGGTGAAGGTACTGTTCTTGGAGATGTCGCCATAGCTTTTTTCCATTTTGTTTCTTTTCAAACCTAACATGAACCAATGGCGACTCAAGTGGGTGTGGCCCTTTCTTTGGCAGCGTACACCACAGAGGCCCTAGAATCAATCAGGGCTGGAGTCGCTTCCAGAGCCTCTGAGGGGCGCCCACTTCTTGCCCAAGATTGCAGGGTTATAAATCAGGCTGCCTGTGGAGAACCTCTCTGGGGAGGAAGCAAAGAGCAGTTTTATCTGCTGCTGAGATGGCCATGATGGGCAACTGAATGAGCTACGTGCATACCTGAATTTTCCCCATAACTCATTTCTTCAATATGAAGAAACACCAAACTATGTACAGAGAACTTTTTACAAAAGGCAAACCTTTTTTTAGCTGTGTAACCCACCCTAGTCTAATCGTCTGGCTGAGTGACTACTAATAGAGGGGTCATTTTGCTGGTGAAAGCCTCTATTACTGTAAGTTTGGAAGTTGGCAAAATTAAATGTTACAGTATTTAGAGCTGCTGCAGCTGTTCCTTAACAACATAAAATAGGATGAATCAATAGTATGTTGTTAGCCGTCTTTCAGGTTGGTGGCAGTCAGTTAGAACATGTGTAATATTCTCTACCTGGTCTGTAGCTGTAACTGTGATGTACAGGCAAAGCAAAAATTAAGAGAAAACTTATGAAAACAAATAATGCAATGATATTAGGATATACACTTTTGTATTTTTATTCTTATATAGGTTATTTGCTGGCTATTGTTGGCCTCTAGTTCAGTCTGTGTTATTTAAATTCTAATATATGAATTATTTGGATTGAATTCATGTTCGGGGCCACGGTGTTGTATGTATTGATGTACAGCCTTGAATGTGAATAATTATTGTAAACTATATTTTACAACTTTTTTTCTGGCTTTATTATATAAATTTCCTATTTGGTCAATGATTTAATCGTATAATTTAATGAATTTGTTTATTCTGTTTTTTTTTTTTCAAATATTTGTGCTTCAGGTGTAGTTACCGGATGATGAATTTTCCTTGTATGCTCGGTAGTCTTGTAATAAAAGCATGTAGAGTGTAGACGTTCGCTGGCATGGCTCTTCCTTTGACCGCGGTCTGGGGTGTCTGGAGCGGGATCGGCATCCACGCGCCGCTCGTGCGAGCTGAGGTCGGCGAGCCCCGCCGAACCCGAGGCCAGGCTCCGCCGCTGGCCTCCCGCGTCGGCGCTCGGGCCACGCGCAGCCCGCTCCGGCCGGAAGGGGGCACGACCGGTCGCTTTTCCGGACCGGAACTTCCGCCGCCCGCGTGACGCCGGGCGGGCGCTTTACGAGGGCGGACCTGTGGGCGGGACAGCGTTCAGGGGACGGTATTAAAGGCCGGACGCTTCCGGTGGAGGGGAGCTGTGGCGGGGCTTGCTGGGATCATGGCGGAGAATCACTGCGAGCTGCTGCCGCCGGCCCCGGGCGGCCTCGGGGCGGGGCTGGGGGGCGGCCTGTGTCGCCGCTGCAGCTCGGGGCTCGGCGCCCTGGCCCAGCGCCCCGGTAGCGTGTCCAAATGGGTCCGGCTCAACGTCGGCGGCACCTACTTCCTCACCACCCGGCAGACGCTGTGCCGGGACCCGAAATCCTTCCTGTACCGCTTGTGCCAGGCCGACCCCGACCTGGACTCGGACAAGGTGAGGGCCGCGCGGGCCAGCCGGGAGGGTCGGGCCGCCTTGGCCTGTGGCCCGTCGCACACCCCCTGCTTGGCGCGGAGGAGACCTCAGCGGGAACGGGCCACTCTCCTCCGGCTCCGAACCTCGCGCTGCCTAGTCGTCAGCTCGACCCGGTCTCCCTCCGACTCCCTGGGCCGGGGAAGGAGAGGATGGTGCCCTGGCACCCACCGCCCTGGAGGATCCCCAGTCGCTTTACCTTGTGGTGCTTCTCTCTCTTGCCCTCTCTGCTCTTCAGTGGAGGAGGTTTCCTAGACCCCGGACTTTGCTTTGGATCTACTTTTTTAACTAAAGTCTTCGGCCTGGGTGTGCGAACACCTCTTCTCCGTCCCAGTGTACTTGCTGGCTCTGGAAACAGAACACTTGCGTTCGTCTTTCCTTTCACACTCCGGACGTTTGAATTAACGTTGGCGTGGGGGTTGACACGGGAGGCTCTCTTCTCCCAGTGACTTGCATTTAGAGAGTTGGCACTCTATCCTTTGCATCCGCAACACGCACCCACTCAGAAGCTCTTAGAAGGTGCCATCCGTAGTATGATTTTCCGAAGGGAATAGTGCTCTTATTAAGGAGAGGCTTAGGATGTCAGGGAGAGGCCAGGTAGGGAATCTTCTTCAATCCGCGTTTTTATTAGTTTTCCCACTGCCCTCACAGAAGGATAGAAATTCCCAGGTTAGTTTGCAACTTGTGTTTCCTCAACTTAAATGTGCATACTGTAATTTTCAGTATTACTGCATATGGTAATAGAAACTATTTTGATTATTACCATTATTTTACAAGAGTTGTATGGAGGAGGGAGTGGTACAAGGCTGAAGCTCAGAAAACGCGTGTTTGAAGAAAAGTTGTTACCTATATTTATCCTGGGCATTTCACAAGCTGTGTACTAACTTTGCTGGGTCTTTCAGTTGAGCCTTCGTGATTGCACTTGGCTTTGTGCCTTGCCAGCCTGACGCTGCTGTGCATGAGGCTTCCCAGAAAGATTCGGATCCCTCTTCAAGTTTGAGAAGCCTGACGGACCATTCTCAACATGGCATGACCTTACAATCAGGAAATGAGAACTCTTGAGTTACTGAAAAACAATCCATCGTGGGTAGAAATTAGAGTCTGAGATGCCAGTACTCCTGTGGTGCACCTTCCTCCCACACACCCCCCCCCCAGCTGTTTTCATTGCTCATTTGACTAAGCTCTCTGCTCTTAGAGCATTGACCTACCAGAAAATGACAGTCATCTCCAGGATGGAAATAGGCTTTTGTTGGCTATGATTTTCTTTTTATAGTGTGGGTGTGTGTTTTACTGTTTGGTCTTTCTTTTTGAACAATGTGTCTTAGTGGTCATTTGCTTGTCTTTCTGCTCAAGCATTCCTGTTTTGTATGTTAAATTAGATTTTAAATTGCTCTCGCCCATTGGGTTCTTTTGAGGCAATGGCTGTCTATTCAGCACTGGAACAGTTGATTCTGAGCCGATTAACTTTAGCACAGTCAAGCCAATTCATCCCTTTATTTTGCTGTCTCTTACGACTACTTTAACAATTATGCTTTACTGTAGGAATCCTGGGAGGGGGTAATTCATCTGTCAGAACATATCTGTGTTGTAGCTGTCTTTTTCGTCATCATTCATTTAACTGCATTTGATTTCCAAATTGTGAATCCAAAATTCAGAACATGAAGGTGATACAGTAGATACAGTCTCTGTCTGGTAAAATAGTTGATAGTAAGTAAGGCTAGTTTTAGTTACAGATAACTTGCCAAAAAGAGTACTGCTAATTCACATTAGTCATGCTACTGAAGTGTTTTACTTCAAATGAGAAAATGTATAAAATGCTCCATGTTCTCAGTTTTGTTTTTTTTTTTTCTGCCTGTGGGTCCAATGAAAGACTGTCCCCGGAGATTCTTCCTAGATAATTAAATGGTGAGTGAGGAATCTAAGGAGGAGGGTGGAGGGGAAGGGGTGTCAGAAGTGGGAGGTCACTAATTACATGATGGAAGACAAACAAACAGGATGTTGATTCACGTGTAATGATCGCCAAGCCCTGACCTCAGAGTTGAGATTAACGAAAGGCTGTCTGGCATGGTTTCCTCTAGTCGAGCTTGAGCGTGGGCCTGGTGGAGAGTCCCTGCCCAGATTCCACTAGTGCTTGCTGAGTACCTGGCTTGCAGAATGCGCTCTGGACATGACCTGGGTGGGAGGTTTAAGGGGGAGGAATCCCCAAGAAGCTGTGAAACTTGAGGAGCCTGAGGGGTCGGGAGAGCAGCACCCTGCTAAAGCAGACTGGTGGGGAGGGGAGCTGTAGACAGGCAGGTTGCTGGGGGGTGCACAATGCCACGCACATCAGGGGCTGGCTTGACTGCCCTCCCCGCCCCACATCTAGGCTTCTAGGCTGCTACTGCCCCCTCCTGGTCCAGCTTGAGACCCACGGCCTGCCATGACCCCTGTTCCCAAACCCTTAGCCTCTTGTCTCAAGGGCCAAAGGGCGACTCAAGGCCCAGCCGGGTGTGAGCTCCCACTTCCCCCTGCGCCTTCCTCCAGCGGGACTGTGGCTGTGCTGTGCATTCAGTATCTGCTCTTCAGTGTCATTTTCTCTTCCACCTTGTCCTTAGGGGCAGGCCAGATGGAATACTCCTTCCCAAAGTCTTGATGCGTTTTGGCTGTGTCTCTTTGTATGCTATGCCACCCGGCCCACAGGCAATGCTGGAAACACAGTGGAGTTTGTTTCTAGCAGACCCAGCCCCCGCTTCTGTGCAGAGGTACTTTGGGGGTTAAAGGGAAATGGGAAATGCCACTTTACGCTAGGAAACCACTCAGTCTGAGGAGGATTTGAGGAGGGTTCGGTTTCTGCAGCTGAGCCAGGCCTGGAGGAAACTGCTGGTTGCACATGAACTTTGCTCTTTGAACAGGGCTGTGGTCCTGGCTTCAGCGTTGCAGACACGGTGGCATTTGATGCGTCTCTGAGGGGTGGGGCAGTCAAGATGCTTCTGACAACAGTGCACTCAGTGTTGGCAAGACTTTTAGTGTTGGAAGGCTAGGAAGGAAATTTTACAGACAAGGCTAAGTGATGGGGAGTACTGTCTTTGAAGCTGCTTGGCAAGAGAAGTGGGGATCACTGGCGTGGAAATGGCAGGTCCTCTTCCCTGTAACAGTGCTGGGCAGAGTTGTACTGGCCTCAGCATGAGCCGTGAGTGGGCGTCAGAGACGCTGATGCATTTCGTTTCCCACTTCAGCCGAGGGCGTAGCGCTGCGCACGTTCTTCACCTCGACCGTGAGTGTGGTTTATTCACAACGTGAGTGGCTGGTCCCTGCTAGTGCTGTGGGCTCCCCGCCCTACCCCGCTGCAGCAGATTCTCGTCCTCTGTTGTGAGTCTGTGGTCACCTCTCTACAAGACACCTCATTTGGAGGCCCCCTGACATGAGCCAGGCCACAAGTCAGAGCTGTAAGTTCCTGAGAAAAGGACTTGCTTTTTGTGATAAAAATGAACCTCCCTGTGAAGAGCTTGTTTTGGGGCCCATGGCCTTCAGGCATTCTTGCCCTCGGACACCGGAGACTGGCCGGGGGAATGGGTGTCTTTCTGCCAGCTGCAAATGCAGCCTTCAGTTGCTCTGGTGCAGCACGGCAGTGACTGGTCTTGGTTGAAAGCAGGGGAAAACTCTGGTCCACCTGCCCGTTTTTGCAAGTGAAGTTTTATGGGAACACGGAGATGCCCATTTCCTTAGGGATTTTGTGTGGCCGCTTTTGCTCTAAAAGCTCAGCATGGAGTAAAGCGTGAAGCCACAGCACTCACCATCTGGCCCTTCTCAGAAAGCGCGTGCCGGCCCTGGTCAGAGTGGATGGCGGCGGCCGTGGTAGGGGTGCCCGCTGCCCTGCTCTCCCCAGCCCCGTCCACCTGGCGAGCGGCCCGTGGCTGCAAGCAGGTGCCGACGGCTCCTTTGCAGAGACCTGTGCCATTTTGGTTCTTTTAGCAGGTCCCTCCTCTGCATGCTCCAGTTAGTGGTCTTGGGCCGAGGTGTTTGAAGTCTGCTTGGCACTGTGGGAGGGTCCTCATGGCCCAGGCACCAGCAGACCCCCTCTGCCCTGGGACACATGCTCATTCTTGCCAGGCTTTAATTGGGCAGCTCTCCCTGGACTGCAGAGCACCCAGAAGATTCCAGTCCGGGGTTGGTAGGTTTTCCTTGGTACAGAGCTAGACTTGGGGAGCCTGGGTTTGATTCTGCCTCTCCATTAGCCTGCTGTGTGACTTGGAGTGAGTTAATGTACCTTTCTGAGCTTTAGTTTCTTCCTCTGTAAAGTGAAGGTGACGCCTTCCTCCTCCTGGCGTAGTTTTGAGAGTTAAGGAAGATGACATGTGTGACACCTCCTCTGCCCAGTGCTTGGTGCTGGGTTAGTGTGGTAAATAGAGACTACTACTAGCAGTCTTTATTTTTGTACTTTGTTTTTAGAAAGGATATACCAAGAATGCGTTTTTCTCCCCGTCAGAGTTTACGTCTGTTAACATCTGCCCGTCACGTACGCTCATCCCCGTGAACCTCAGGGTCTGGGCCGGGAGCTCACGGCGAGCGCTCTGGCCGGCCTGCCCAGGACAGGCCCCTGGAGGGTGAGCCCCCAGCTCTGGGCACCAGAGCCAGTGCTGTGGGGGAGGGGCAGGGCTTCCTGGGAGGCCACTGAGCTTTCTTGCAAGAAACTTGATGCCTTCAAGCTTGAAAAATGCAGCCTCGAGGAGGCCCCAGTCCCGTACACGGGTGTGTGCTGGTACAGCACCCACGTGGGGGGTGCACCCACATCCCTCCCCAGCGTCGTCCTTGCCCTGGCAGGTCTGGCTTCTTCTGGGGTGGGCTTCCGTGATCTTCGGCCTTGTTCTGTGAGTCAGGCTGGGGTGACAGTTCTGGAGGTCATGCTCTGGGCCAGCTCTTCACTGCCTATGGGCCATGTGGGGTTTTCGATACAGGTAAGGGAAAGGCTGGCACCGCTGGGCACT